GAGAACAACATCCAACCTAACTAGACCACAAATCGATTGAAATCCCCAATCTTTGAAACCCTAATTTGAGAATGAAAATATCCACAAATTGCTTGAAATCACAAATCGTAACCGTGAAAGGAGAGGAAAACAACATCCAACCTAACTAAACAACAAATCGATTGAAATCCCCAATTTTTGAAACCCTAATTTTAAACCATAATTTCCAGAAATCGTTGAAAACACAAAACAAAACGGTAAAAGTAAAGGAAAACAACATCCATCCTAATAAAAACCCATAAATCCGCAAGAGAAGCCTTTGATTTACCTTGGTCTTGTATCGGATCGAAATCGCCTCGAAATCACCTTTGAGAGAAACTGCGTTAGGGTTTTCTGAATTTCGCGAAAAAATGAGTAAAAAAAAAAACATCTTATATATGTCCGGTCAAAAATACGGTTAGGTTTAAAAGTAATTTGGTAAAATCCGGTTTGGACGACTTATAATTAAGTCATCTGTTGATACTATAAGACGACTAAGTCGTCTGCATTATTAAATATATTTACCAGACGACTTAAATATAAGTCATCCAAACCCTAAACCCTAAACTAAATTGACTAAATTAACTAACTAACCACGTTATAAAATCAAATTATACTTAAATATTGTTTACTATACACAGAAATAAACACACTTAGGTAAATTTTTAATTTTTCAAAAAAACATTTATGCTTTCAAAAATCTAACCCTAAGAAACACATACAATACTACAACATATGTTGGTGAAACCNTATATTAATTTATATCTCTTAAGACATATGTTAATTACATAATTCCAATTTTTCATTTATCAAAATATTTATTACACAATTTTTAAATTATTTTTAAGAAAAACTGTCCCAGACGACTTCAAACTAAGTCGTCTGGACGACTTAGTTTAAAGTCGTCTGGGCAGACGACTTGCGAGGGCTAAAAACGTAAAAAAAAAAAAAACTCTTTTTTTGTTTGTTCACAAGGGGTTGGTTGTAATTTCAACAGCCTTTTAAGTTACTTTTGCATTTGATTCAAGTTTGGGTTTACTTTTGCATTTCAAATCAAGTTTTGAGTCATATTTGGCAATTTTCCCTTTTTAAAAATGTTCCTTTGTTGATGGTAAACATGAAAAGTGGTACCACCAAAGTGGTATAATTGAAATTCTCCCAATATACAATAGGCAAAATATAAATACTATACTAAACATATATCCTAATATTAGAATAAGTAATTATACAATATAAGTAATAACATTATTCTATTAAACATCTATCGTTATATTAAAATAAGTAAATATACAGAATAAAAATAAGTAAATCTAAAATATAGGAAAATGAATATTAAAATAAATAAAAAGTAAATATACAATTTTAAATATAAAAATATTATACTAAGCATTTGTCGTAATATTACTATTAGATATAAAAGAAAACAAAATTAAAATAAGTAAATATTTCATATATAGAACAACAAATAATAAGTAGCTATACAATAGAATAAATGAAAACTACATTAAACATCTATCTGAAAATGTATAGTTTTTTAGGAAATTGTCAGAAATAACACTTTCAAGATACCACTTTTCAGTTTTACACTAACCAACTTTACCATTAAAATTTTAATAGTCAAAATACTATTAGAATTTAGGGTTTAGGGTTTTGGATTTAGAATTGATAGTTTAGAGTTTAGTGTTGATTTTTTAGGGTTTAGGGTTTACTTTTTAGGGTTTAGAGTTTAGGGTTTAAGGTTTAGAATTGATATTTTAGGGTTTAGGGTTGATTTTTAGGGTTTATGGTTTACTTTTTAGGGCCTAGAGTTTAAAATTGATGTTTTAGGGTTTATGATTAATATTTTATTTAATATTTATTTTATGTATATATATAAAGAACAAGGATATAAAAGTCTTTTATTCTTTAATAAAATGTGTATTTTTGAAAATGTTCCTTTATTGATGGTAAACATGAAAAGTGGTACCACCAAAGTGGTATAATTGAAATTCTCCCTAGTTTTTTCACTTTCATTATTTTCAAATATTAATATAAGTAAACATTAAAAAAAATAATAAGTAATGAACAATATAAGAAATAGAAATATTATACTAAATATTTATCATAATATTATCATTTGATATAACAAGAAAAATAGAATAAGTAAATATAAATTATAAGAAATGAAAAATCTAAATTAAACATATATCTGAAAAATGTATAATAAGAAAAAGATAATTAATATATATGAAACATAAAAATAGAAATATTACATTAAACATCTATCGTAATATTAGAATAATAAGTATATAATATAAAAAATAATAATTAGTAAATGTACAAAATCAAAAATAGAAATATTACATTAAACATCTATCGTAATATTATAATTTAATATAAAAGCTAGTAAATATATAATATCAGAACATAAATATTACATTAAACATGTATCTTAATATTCAAATAAGTTAATAAATAATATGTGTAGTAAATAAGTAACCAATTAATAAAAATATTACATTAGAATAAGTAATTATACAATATAAGTAATAACTAAATATACAATCTGCGAAAAATAAAGAAAAAATAAATATATAATATCAGAACAGAAATATTACATTAAACATGTATGGGAGAATTGCAATTTTACACATTATCTAGTAACATAATTCAGATTTACCTTCTTTTGGAAGACATTTTCATTAATACCTAGAACACTTATCGGTAAATGACATAATTACCCATAAGGAGTGAAGACCAAATCTATCGTATCTTAGGAAGGCCATCACCACCGTCGCCTGCTCCGGCCACGCCGCTGCTTCCGGCGGTTCAGAAGACACAATTCACCTCTACGACCTCCCTACAGCATTCTCCCTCGACTCCCTCCTCGACCACAACCACACAGCTTCAATCACCGCCCTCTCCTTCTACACGCCCTCTTCCTTCTCCTTCCCTCGCAATCTCATCTCCGCCGCCGCCGATGGCTCCGTTACCATTAGACATTTGGTTTAGATCTGTGATTTTTTAATACTATCTTAGTCCTACTTAGTTCAGTTTCATAAGGAAGTTTTACTATGGAGGTTGAATTCAAAGCAATGCTCGATGTTCTCGAGAAATCTCTCTCCGATCCTGCTCCCATCCACAAGGTGTGTTTGACGTTTGGGTATCTTATTTGTGTGGATCTTAGATTCCAAAGAACTGAACTTTCACATGCATCGCTGTGTCAGTGATCCATGTATTGATCTGATTCTGGATTCTATTAAAAGCATTCATCTTTATGTGAATTTGTGCTTTACTGGCTACAGAGTTGTAAAATTGTCAAAGCTTTTGGTTGTTGCATTGCATGTTTTTGAAGAAAATGTATATTCTTTGTCGGTTCTGCAGCTGCGTTCACATGTTGAGAATCTTTCGGCTTTGTCTAAGTGTAACCCTAAAGTGAAGGTCTGCTTTTGTATAATAATTTGACAAGTTATTGTGGTTTAAGTTTGATTATATATAATCAACATAAAACGTTCTGATTTTCAGGAATTAAGCTCGGAAGTGGTAGATAGTAATCCTTACAGTAGGCTTATGGCACTTCAGCGGATGGGTATTGTGGAGAACTATGAGAGGATAATAAACTTCTCAGTCGCCATAGTTGTATGTATTTAGCTAAAACTCTCTTTGTTTTCAAGTTTTCCTTTAAAATTGTATTTAAAGAAAACTCTACATTGACATTGACAGGGAATTGGTGGTGTTGGAAGTGTTGCTGCTGAGATGCTGACCAGATGTGGTATAGGTCGTCTTTTGTTGTATGACTATGACACTGTCGAACTAGCTAACATGAACTGACTTTTTTTCCGACCTGATCAGGTACTCACTTTTCATTGTCTTTCTTCTTTGCTTCAGGACATGATTCTAATCTCTGTGTAATGGTGACTCTAGGTTGGTATGACAAAGAATGATGCTGCTGTTCAGACGCTTGCTGAAATTAACCCTGACGTAGTACTTGAGGTATGTTTCCTATTTGATGTCTTAAATCATGGGGTGTAAGCATAGCTGATGCTAGTTTATAGGTTGTTTATATCCTATTTTTTAGTAAATAAAAAGATGTTTGCAATGGGTGTGTTTGATTTGAACTCAATTATTATTAAGTAGGAGGTCCTTGATGTATGTTTTTTGTTTCTTATGTTCTTTCGTGATATTTTATTTCTGTATGCTGAGTATTGTTAGTTTTACACCTGGAGAAGAGAATTCTATTTATGCGATTTCTATTTTATTTTTCCTAGAGTTTCACAATGAACATAACAACAGTGCAAGGCTTTGAAACCTTCACGTCGAGCTTGAAGAACAAGTCATTCTGTCCTAACAAGGAGGGCAGTGGTGTGGATCTTGTTTTGAGTTGTGTCGATAATTATGAAGCAAGGATGGCTGTTAATCAGGGAGCTCTGATTTTTCACTCTAGAGATATGGCTTTCATTTTGTTACAAATTTCACATAGTTCTTACTTCACCTTCAAGCTTTTTGATATAATTCAATCACTCACAGCATTTGGTTATCCTTTGATGTATAGGCATGCAACGAGTTACGTCAGACATGGATGGAGTCAGGTAAATAGTATGAAAAGCTTATAATTCACCAATGCTGATGGTGACAAAGAATATGATATTTTGTGCAGGTGTTTCCGAAGATGCTGTTTCAGGTCACATACAGCTTCTGGTTCCTGGAGAAAAAACTGACATCAGTCTTTTTACTCCATCGAAGAACACCAGTACGGTCAGCAAATGCATTAACAGAGCAGTGACGCAAGTTTACAGCTCCAGAATCTTCAGAGCCCTGAAAATAATGAAGCTTAAAGTTAATCTAAACAGTTCAAACACAGCTCTCGATTACTTTCTTTATCACGGAGTTCTAGACTAAATGTGTAATTACCAGAAGTAGTCCATGAAAGTGATCATGATATACTAACTGCACATCTTTTCTTACCTGTTTCTCAGAATTTATAAATCTTTTATAGGGGATTATAACATTATTTATATGAACTTATAAATATAAACTTAAAGAAATTTGTCAACGTTTTTTTAAATAGACTTAATAAAATTGTTATAAGGACTAAAAATAATTTATAAGACTTTATAAAATCCAGAAAACTTATAAAATCATCTTATAGAACGTTGACAAAATTTTATGAAATAGATTTAGAAACTCTTATAAACCTTATAAAAGATTATATTGTTATAATCCCCTATAAAATCATTTTATAACGATTTATAAACTATTTATAAGGTTTAAAAGTCCATTATAAGTGTCTATAAATAATTTATAAGGGTATATAACACATTAATAAGGTATCTACATTTATAAGAGTTAATATATTATATATAAAAAGTTTATATATCATTTATAAAGGTTTATAAGGGTTCATAAACTAATTTATGAAAGCTGATAAACTAATGTATAAGAGATTATATTTTGATTTACAAGAGTGTATAAATTGATTCATAAGGGTTGATAAACGGATTTATAATACTTTATAAAACTTCTACAGGAGTCTATAAGTTAATTATACATATTTATAAACTAATTTATAAAGCTTTGTAAATCACTTGATTTACAAGAGTGTATTGATTCACAAGGGTTGATAAACTGATTTATAATACTTTATAAAACTTCTACATGAGTCTAGAAGTTAATTATACATATTTATAAACTAATTTATAAAGCTTTGTAAATCACTTGAATCTAGCTTTTATAAACTCTTTTAAATGAAAACTCTTATAAATTGTTTTATGAAGATTATTAAACTCTTTTAATATTTTGTAGAAATCCTTATTAATAGATTTATAAACCTTATAAATAAATTTATAAACTCTTATAAATGGATAATAAGTTCTTGTACATGGTTTTATAAACACTTATAAATAGTTTTATAAACCTTTATAAATAGTTTATAAATATTTATAAGTCTTGATCACTTAAATCTCTATCAGCTTGTGATTGATTGTGATTGCAAAGTTGCAGGCTTTTGCAAAGTGATAGGTGGTTCAGTTACCGGCAGAGAAGGCATCACTGTTTGAACAAGAGAAGCTTTGTGCGTCTCCACTCTTATCTCAGCTTGTGATTGTGAAGTTGCAGGTTTCTGCAAAGGGATGTGTTCAGTTACTGGAGGAGAAGGCACCACAGTGTGAACAAGAGAAGCTCCATGCTTATTTGCTCTAAACTCAGCTTGTCTTTGAGAAGTTTCTGCAAATGCGATGTTCAGGTACATGAACACAAGGCACCATTGTGTGAAGAGGAGTAGCTTTTTCCATATCCGCAATACCCTCTCTTAAGTCAGCTTGTAACTGAGAAGTTGCAGGCTTCTGCAAAACGAAAGGCTCGTGTAGAGGAAGAGAAGGCACTGCTGTATGAAGAGGAGTAGTTATAAAATCTAGGGAAGGCACTGCAAAACCAAAAATCCATTTATAAAATTTTATAGATCAACTTATAAATCAGTTTATAAACAAATAAAACTAACTTAAATCTTTGTTGGTAAGCACATGAGTGATAGAGAGGGAAGGGTGTACGTTATATTGCACCTTTTTCTTTTCTTTTACTCACAAGGTCAATTTATTGGTAAGCATATGGAACTCATGCCTAGAACTCTTGAACGTTGCACGGGTGGTTTGAAGATGGATCAGCCATCTCTTTGTTGTATACTCCAAGGATATATATATATATATATATCTTTATAAATGTTATATAAAATATTATAAATGATATAAACCCCCTTATAAGTGGTAAATACATATTTATAAATAACTTATTAACTCTTATAAATTGCTTTATAAATCCTTATAATTTTTTTCTAAACTCTTATAAATAAAGGGGACTTATGAGTAATGTTTTAATATGATTTTTAATCCATACAAATGATTTTATTAACCCTTATAAATGATTTATAAAATCTTATAAATGGTTTATAAAATTCTAAATATAATATAAAAACCTTTATAATCAATTTTACTAGATCTTATAAATGATTTATAAACCTTTTTATTTTGCATACTCTTATAATTTTTTTTATAAAGCTTTATAAAAAGGATTATATACTCGTGTCTTCTATTTATATAATGAAGGGTTTACTCACACATAAGGCCGCTACATCACCAATTCGTTCAACCTCAGTGTGACATATGTCTACTAACAAAACGTTGCATTTCTTTTTTTTTTCACGCATGCAGACCGACCTTAGTATATAATATTGAGACCTTATAATTTGTATCTACACATATATAAACTAATTATAAGGGTTATAAGGTTATTTATTAATTTTAATAACTCCGCTTTCGATTTATAAGAATTTATAAAGGTTTATAAATGACTTAAACAATGATTATTAACCAATTTGGTAAGGTTTAAAAACTATTATATAAATACTTCCCCATTCTTAGAATCACCATTAATTAACTTATAGACTCCAGTAGATGTTTTATAAAGTATTATAAATTAATTTATAAAACCTTATGAATCAATTTAAACACTCTTGTAAATCAAATTACAATCTCTTATTAATTGGTTTATAAGATTTCATAAATTAGTTCATGGACCCTTATAAACCTTTGTAAATGATATATAAGTTTTTATATATAACATAATAACTCTTGTGAATGTTTTATAAACCATTATAAATTATTGATAAATGTATTATTCCACGGGAAACTGAACGAGTTCAGATGGAGATGAGAAATCTAGACGTTAAAATGAATTTGAATTTTATAAGTTTAAGATATTATATAAACTCTTATAAAATGATTTATAAACTCTTATAAATTGATTTATAAACCCTTAATAGTTTCCAAAGGTCCTTCTTTCTGGTACACCTCTGTTCCATTCGATTCTGAGCTTATTCTGTCAACGAAATAAGATGAATTCAGAGGTTAGTGGCTTACTCCTAGTATGGAAAGGATAGAGAGAAGTCAAACTTACTGTAATCTTGCTGTGGGGTAGTTAGCAAAGCCTTCTTTCCTCAAAACGGTTAGTCTCCAATCCGAGGTTGTGCCTTCCTAGTCTTTGACACCCTGCATAATGTTTCAATGAGTACACTGTAGGAGACAACATCACATAAAGAACCGGTCCCATTGAAGGTATTTTGATAAGGGTTTTTAAGCCTTAGAGCAAATCGATTGTAGTATTTTAGATTGTCGAACCACAGAGAACTAGTGATCTAAGCACTAAGAGTACACAAACTTTCCTAATCTAAGCAAATAGAGAGTTCGATTTGTAACAAGCTAAGGTTCCTAGAAATATAAACAAGGTGATCTCAAATCCAATCTAAAAACAATCACAAGAACTACTTTTAATCAAATGATAAGGTAGAATCCATGGGATTAAGATAATTGATCTAAGCAATTAGTTTCCAAGTGAAGGTGCAAGCTTCAAGCAATCACAAGTCTCTATAGGTCTAGAAACTTCAATAGACAAACTCTTTCTCAAGACGGATGCCCTTTTGCAAAGATAACTCAAGCATCTAATCTCTTAGGTTGAATGTTATCTAAACAAACATTATGATTTAGTCTACTAACCATCTAAGCTTTCTTAACATCAAATCTCTTTGGTTAAGTAAGTTTAGAGCAATACTAAGTTCATTCAAGCATTTTAACAAACACCTTCCGAGCATAAAATAGCTTAAGGTCTAGATGAGAGTGATCAAGTCTAATCTAGCATTAAAAACACTTAGTAAGCATAGAAACAAGTAGATCTAACAATAAACACCTTAACCCTTCTCTAATTATCTTAAATCTACCTAACCCATGAATTCAATAATTGTCAACTCAAAAATCTCCATGATAAACCTTAAACCCATATGAGATTCAAGGTTAATCATGTTAATGAGAATGAGAAATAAGATATAATATGAAATACTTCCTTATAATGATATAAAGATTCAAGCTTTTACAATGAAATACAAAGTTCTAGAGAGAAAATGAGATACTTTAGGGTTTTTGGGGTCTAAAACTATATAGAGGAAGTCCAAATTCGTCATGGTTCAAATAAATTAAACCGGTCAACCCTTTTGAAGCTGAAGACCGCGGCCTGCGCTGACCCACGTTGCTTGTCCGCGTTTTTTCCTGGATCTCTCTGCCACGAATTCGCGGCTCGTCTCCAACCGCGTCCGTAACCCGCGTCTCGTCTCTTTTCCGTGCCGGCTTCGTCTCGGTCGTGGCTGAGCTCCTGCGTGAAGAACCTCCAGTGGTGTCGTCATCTCATCTCCAATCCATGGCTGAGTCCTTGGTTCACCACCGGCGTCTCCAGTTCAAGCCTCCATCCCGTTTCAGAACTTCACCGCGACCAAGCTTCCCATGGCGTCGTCTCTTCTTGCTTCGCCGTTGCAGTGATCTAACCCGTGCCTCCAACCCACGAGCTCTCCGTCGTGCTCCATCGCGTCTGTCTTCCTCAGCCAAGCTCGAGCCACCACGAATCAAACAACCGCTTCACTCCCGTCGTGGCCAGCTTCATCTCCGCCACTTTGCGTCACCATGGGATCTCTCAGCCAAGTCTTCTCTTCGTTGCAATCCATCACAATCAAATCTCCAGGCTACCGTGAAGCACCGTCCAAGTCATCTCCGTCGCCGGAAGTTGCAGTCGTCTCTTGTACCGGAAACTTCACGAAGCAACAATGGTGGACTTTAGCTGTTTTGCACATTTGGTCCCCAACGTTTTGATGCTTCTCTGATTGACCCAAGACTTTAGGATTTGTCGAGATAACCTCTTGAATTAAACCCAATATTTTCTAATGGTGCAACTTAGCCCTTCCGTGTTTGCAGAATGGTCCCCCGACTCTTGATTTATTTCATTATGGCCCCCAAAGTCTTGAAACTTGAAGCTTGACCTTTGATTTTTGCCATAAACTTCCAATTGTGCAGTTTAAACTCTGTTAT